AAAAAAAAAAAAAAAACAACTTGGGATACAATAAGCCTTCAGTAACCATACATCACAGCCCACACCCCCTTTAATGGGGAGTATTATAGAATCCTGGTTAAAAGCATGGACCCTAGAGTCAGAATCTAACTTCACTCCTGCCTAGCCAGGTACACCTTGGGTGCCTGTCTTAAACGCTGGAGTTTCCATATCTTCATGTGTAAAATGGGGATAATAGCATCTATCTCCATGAGTCCACTGTGAGATCAACTGCCGTAGGACAAGTAAAATGCTTTGCATAGTACAGTGTAGGAGCTCTGCGTGGGCTCTAAATTAATCTTGAGAGTCGGTAATGATGGAACAACAGCCTACTACATCCCAAACTCGGTATGGTTACAATGCGTTAAGCGCGGAGCAAAGCGCTCCCCACGGATTACCGCATTTAATTCTCACAGTAACTGCTTGAGTCAGTTTCTACTATCACCCCCCCGACCCCTGCCACAGGAGATGAAGTCAAGGCTCCAAAGAAGGGCAGTGATCTGCCCAAATCACACCAGATTAGGGAGCGAGGCGAGGGTATGATTCTAGACTCGAGGCCCCGCGCCTTAACCCCGAACACCTCGCATCTCTAGGGCTCCGCGGCCCCTCCTGCTCCAGGAACTAGCCTGAGCCCTGTGGGCGCCGAGCCGGGCCGCGCGCGCCACTCACCTCCTGCAGGCACGAGGCGCAGCTTCCTGCAGCAGACGCTCTGCCTGCCGGTCTCGATCCTCTCTGAGGTCCGCCACGGCGGGCGTATACGCGCGACTTCCGTTCCGCCGCGACTTCAGTCCACACACACACACTAACGGAAGTGCGTCGTCTTTACAGTCCGGGTAGACCCAGACTCCCTGCTTCAGAAAACCTCCGTGGCTCCGCTGAACCATGTGATAGCCAAGAGCCGCTAGCATATGTGGCAATCGAGCGCTTCCAAAGTGGCAAGTGCAAATTGAATATGCTCTAAATGTAAAATACACACCGGGGCTGGGCGCGGTGGCTCGCGCCTCCAATCCCATACTTTGGGAGGCTGCGGCTGGAGGGTTGCTCGAGTTCCGGGTCACAGTGAGCTAAGGTCGCGCCACTGCACTCCAGCCTAGGCGCCAGAGCGAGACTTTTTTTTTTTTTTTTTTTTTTTTTGAGATATATTCTCAGTCTGTCGTCCTCTGGCTTCACAGCTGACAGCAACCTCAAATTCTTGGGCTTAAGCGATTCTCTTGCCGCAGCCTCCCAAGTAGCTGGGACTGCAAGCACCCACCACAACGCCCGGCTATAAATTTACCATTCTTTTTAAAGTAATCAAGCACAGGCCGGTCGTGGAGGCTCAATCTTATCATCCTAGCACTCTGGGAGGTTGAGGCAAGAGGATTGTTTGAGTTCAGGAGTTTGAGACCAGCCTGGGCAAGAGTGAAACCCCATCTCTACAAAAAATAGAAAAATTAGCCAAGTGTCATGGCACTCACCTATACTCCTAGCTACTTGGGAGGCTGAGGCAGAAGACTCGCTTGAGCCCAGGAGTTGGAGATTGCTGTGAGCGTGATGCCATGGCACTCTACCCAGGGGGATAGCTTGAGGCTCCGTCTCAAAAAAAATAAAATAAAATAAAATAAATGTTCATGAGGCTCAGCGCCTGTGGCTCAAGCGGCTAAGGTGCCAGCCACATACACCTAAGGTGGCGGGTTCGAATCC